TTTTACAAATTGCCAATAGTTCTATCTGACATTTAATACTATATTATTTATAACCAATAGAAAGCCATAATTTTAATCTATCAAATCATGTTATATTATGTTGTTTTCTATAGAGAGAATTGTCTATTTCACTTCCAGTTTAAACTTTATTCTCAAAGGAAATGCAACAACAAGCTTAGCTACGTTTTTAACAGCTCTTACTGCATAGTTATAAAGACAGAAAAATTGTGATAGTAATAGGACATTGTCTGTATGGTTATGTTTTGTCGATAGCAAAAAAAAGAAGACTCCGGTAAGTACTATATTTCCTGTTTTTCATGTGTATTCTTTCTTTATTATTATAAAAGTAACTAAAACATAAAACGTAGAAACTTTTTAGGTTAGATTAGGTAAAATAAAAAATAAAATTTTTTCACGAAGTATGCTCATGAGTAGCCCACATGTTACATAATTTGATAGAGTAATGTGAACTACATATTCATCAAGTGATTTATGACTTGTGTTGCAGGATTATTTATTATTCATGGTTCAAAAAGCAATAAAACAATAAAATGTAAGCATAAACAGATGTATATTGTTACAAGTTTAAATATATATAGGATAAGAAATATTTTTTCATGTCACAATTTGAAGTCATTCTAGAAAGAAAAAAAAAGGTACTTTAGATAGATTTATTTTGAATTTTTATTTATGGTGGTTATGAGATTGGTCAATTGACCAACCTCATATAGAGTTAGGGCAGAGAAAATTAATAAAATATAAAACATTTGAAATTTAATTAGGAGGTTTTTTAGTGAAATCTAAAAATTTTCAAATGAAGAAACATTTTTAATCTTAACATGAAAATCATTTTACACTTGGAGCAGTCAACACTTTGACACCATATATATACACAGAGAAATTTTAAGTGAAAATACTTCATTAAAAATTCTGATTCTTTTGTCTATAAAAGACTTAATGCTTACTTAAAGCTTGCAAAATTTCATGAAAATACACAAAGCACAGTAGAAGTTATATCATGGAAACTATAAAGGTCAATTTGGCATCATGAACTTTGCCAACTGAACCAAGTGAGTGTTAATAACGTTTAAGTCTTTTTTTGCTTAATGTAAAAACAATGCATTAATGGAAGGTGAAGGTAACAGTGTTGAACATAGATATGATTACTTTTAGTTGTAATTACATTTGTAACAAGATCAGCATTCAGAACACTAACTTAAATTAACTCAACTAAGATAACTGTTTCAAACCTGGAATTTATAGTTGAATTAAAACCTGTCTTAAAAGATTTGATCAAAGCAGGATATTTTAAATATCTAAGCTAAAAGGACTCACCCACAGCAAACACAGCTGAGAACCGAGACCTGTCAAAACTTGGCAAAGTTTCTTCAGAAAAACATAGTGTTGTTCTTCTAAGGGGGCCAGAGCTGCAGCACTATTATTAAGATATACAACTAAAAGTCTATTTCTTTTATATAAATGACATAATAGTAAAGATTTTTAACATTGAAATCATTCTAAATGTTGTACTGGCAGAATAAACCAAACTGAATTCAAGTTAATTATCATTGTACACTTATCCTTCATGTAAGAACCACGCATCTCCTACCAAAAACCATCATTTCTCATAAACATTAACATTTTCCTTACCAAAAAATGCATTTCTGACAGACACCTCTACACACAAATTAACTATCTTCCTCAGAAATGTGCCAAAGATACTTGCATGCCACTAACCTTGAAGCAACTCCCACTTAATTTCACATGATTTTATGTGAATTGTGCTACTGCATGATTATGTCATCATGCAACAAAGCCCTCTACCAATGAAAGGGTGACAACTCCATGCTCACTAACTCCCCTTATGAATATGAGCTCGTAAGTCTACATTCTTTGACCAGACAAGTAAGAAAATGTGCACAGGAAATGGGGAGGATGGGTGGGAATGTGTTTAGAGGTTAACATCTATTGGAAATACATTTCGAGATACGGAAAATGTAAACTTCTGAAATGATAACACACCTCCTCACACAGATTAGCTAAAATCTCACGTTCATAGGGTGAAGGAATGGTGCAAAATTTACCTAGGTGAGCACCTTTCAAAAAACATCTGAAGTAGGGTTTGCAGTCACTACCACTACTGGTACTGGTGGGACTCAGAGTCCAGTACCGGGCATTCAGTACCAGTACTGGTTTAGAGTATATCAGATGTTGAGAATATCTGTTATCACATGTCCCATCTTCAGAGTCTTGACCAAACACCTCCTCTGGTATTTCAGATTTGCTTCTCACAGAATTATAAATGTTTGATGTGGTAGTTTTGAGTTCATGCTTCAATCGATAAGTGAATCTCACCGTGAAAATCGGCAATACCATAAAATATGGGAAACTGGTGACAACCATGCTCTGGAAGAATGTGAATGTGCTTACGCGACTGATTGTACGTTAGGTAAGTGCGTGCACGATTAACCCTTAGAATGCAAGCAGGTCAAACTGAACATGTCACAACATTTGTGCGAGTTACATTCACAATTTCATTAAACTACTTAATTATTATGGTATATGAACAAACTTGACATCCAACCATAGATAATAAATCAAATTTTAATATTATATAAGTTTTAAGTTCTTAATTGTATAGGGAAGTATTTAAAAACAACCTCAAATTCCCCTAGTGTGAGAATTTGGATATTTGTTCTTGAGCCGTCTCTATAATTTTGTCACCGATATACTGAAGCTATATTTTTATATTTTTCAATTTTATGAGGCTAAAGAGCAATCAACGAAAATTCAGAAAGCACGTTTCATGCCTACCTCTGACATGCTCAAATTTACAATTTGCTAATAGATTTTTCTGAGGCTGACTCCCATTAAATTTATAGCCAATAGAAAGCCTAGATTTCAACTGAGTCATTGTCATAGTCGTCATACCATGTGGGATTACAGATAATTGACAATATGGTATAATGGAAAAAAAATTTTCCCAAGAGAACACACTGGGAAGAATAGTTGAACTTCTAACTGCTCAAGTCATATTGATTAGAGAGCCAGAAAAATTATCACAGACCCAGAACTATCTCAGCTGTTCATGTATTATTATTGTGTTCTTCCGTGCATTACATAATTAAAGAAAAATTTATTTTGTGGACTAGTAGCCTTGGTGTAAAGTATTAGGGCTAACACAAAAGAACAGTCAATGGTAAAAAAAAAAGTTACATAGGTAGGTGCTATATTTCTTGTTTTTCTTATCTATTCCTTATTTATTATTAGTAAAGTAACCAAAAATGTAAAACTTAAGAACTTTTAGGCTAGATAAGGCTAAATTATTTAATATAAATAAAAAGAATGATAATAATAAACTTTTCCACGAGGTATACTTGCTAGGACTAAAAGTTTGAGAGTAGCACAAGCTTCATGTAACTTCATTGAGGTAACATTAGCTTCATGTTACCCCCAATATTTGAAACTTTTTATGGTGGGAATTTTAAAAACCATGGTCCAAAAGACAATTAAACAATAAAATATAATTAGAAACAGATGTATAACACTAAGAAGTTTTAAGTTATTTAGTGTAAACAAATGTAGCCTCATGCTATAATTTGAAGTAATTCTAGAAAGAAAAAATGGCAATTTTGGTTTATGGTGGTTACAAGGTCAGGCAAATTGATCAAGTCTGTATTGAGTTAGGATAGAAAAAATTACAGATAAATACTTTAATAAAAATTCTGATCTTTTCTTTACTAAGAATTATAATGTTTACTAAAAACTTGCCAAATTTCATAAATATACATAAAGCACATTAGGAGATATATTATGGAAACTCTAAAGGTTAAGTTGGGGTCACGTGACTAGGTCGATTCGACCTAGCCTGTACAGAGAGAGTTAAATTCATATGCGATGGACAATACAATTGAATGATTCCTCTGACTGGTCATTGTTTCATCAGATAAGTGCCAGTGACTGGATCAATTCCTCCTCTGTCAAATCAATAAGGCATCTTCTACTGGTGCAGCTAGAAAAAGTGAGGTTTGGGACTACTTCATAGTCAATCCCAATGATTTTAAAAAGACAAAGTGCACAAAATGTAAATATATCACCAAATGGGAGCACTGAGAGAAAAAAGGATGACCTAAGAGTGAAACTTGGTGAAATGTACAATAATGGCATCTATTTTGGTGTACATTCGAGGAGTGGACCTCAAGCCAGAATCGATGCTACGTGAACATCAATATCCATACCACAGAACGAATACTGGAGTCTTGGCTTAGCATATACTGATTTACAATTACAACTGAACATATAGTTCAGACTGTATGGTGAAAACTTGAATGGTTTGGAGTGAAATTTAACAAGGACAATGTGTGTCATGTGGTGGGGCGTCAGTGATGTTGAATTTTGGGCACAATTACTTACCTAACCCTGATTCTATCAAAGCATCTCGGCCCTGGTTCAACACATTCCAGATGGGAATGAAAAAGGGAATTTGGGATACTATAATGAAGTTATACAGTAATCTCCATCCTGAAGTGGACATGCCAGAAGAAAATGATGACACAGACCCTGAAACAGAACCGAACAGTGAATCAATGTGCAATGTCCTTGATTGTGAATTGAAATCACTTGCAGCCTCTGCAGCTCATCCTAGTGACACAAATGAGTATCTGGCCCAGGATTTCAGGCTTTGGGAGAACAAAAGATGCACCCAAAAAACTGGACCAGATGTACAATGACCTGAGAAGTATTCAAAGCACTAGTGTCGAGGCAGAGTATACATTCTCTGCATGTGCACTTATTGTTACCAAACTACGAGTTCGAATAAGCGATGCCTTGCTCGATGCCCTAACATTTCTGAATCCATAAAATTTGAAGGAATAGCAGAATGGAGTATTGACTTAGACAAGGGACAAATCGAAATACATCCCCACAACCTCTGTGGTGGTTGAAATCGATTGAATTCTTTGGGCAAGACTGTCAGAAAACAAAAAACTTGTTTATCATGTATATTTGATCTGATATGTTCGATATAAATATATTTGGATGGAATTGAAATTCTGGATGAAAAAATCTTCATTGATTCTGACTCTTGAATTTGTAGTCTCAATTTCAGTTCTGTAGCAAAAGATTAGTACTTAGTTAGTCCAAGATCGAGTCATGAGACAATAGGCTACAGGCCAAAGTGTCTCAACTTCATTACAGATAGATCTTTAGATCCCAGGTCTTCGGCTTAGTAGCGAGTACAGGACAGGTAGTTGTTTCATTTAATTTCTGCATGGTGTGATCTTGTGATGGCAATTTAGAACAAGATTTCACTATTATATTGCATTCTGAGGATGATAGGACAGGATATTTCTATGGTTATTGGTACTGACTTTCAGTGATGCTTGAGTACTGGTACCAGCATTACCCGGTCGGTACTGGTACTATTACTGGCAACAAGATACTGCCAGTACTATTGCTAACCCTAATGTGAAGTATGCCCATTGGTTGTGACATCCAATGGCTGGGGCTCCATTGGGGCTCACCTGTGGAAGATCTCATCTCATCTAAGGAATATTCTTCACTTGTATATGAAAGCAAAAAAAATAAGAGTGGTATAACAGGTACGTGCAGAATTGGTGCATGGCTGTCTGAGTACTTGCACACAAGTGTAGTGTGGTTGGGGCTCATTCAGACTGTACCTTGTGTGCTCACCTCACCTGTACCATCAAACTCGATGGGTCAAAACCAGTTGTGGTAGAAAGGTAGTTGAGAGATACATCACAGATGTGTATATGGAATGCTCACCTCAACTTTATTGTCAGACTCTGAGAGACTTACACTAGTTGCAAGAGAAGGGCAAGCTTGTTATGTAGTAAGGATTGAGACTGAGTGCTGTCAACTCGACTCTATTGAACAGACAGTTGCTGCAGAAGGAAGGCTTGTGAGATATAAAGTGAGGAAGTAAACTATTGTGGAGAAATGGAAAACGAATGGCAACATAAATTGAGTAATGGAACCCATATGTGTGATAGTCACTGGCATGAAGAGTGATGAATGAGACTTCTGATAGAAGGAAGATAAGAAAAAAATGAAGGAAGGCCTGGAATCCAGAAAGGAAATGTGGGAAAGAAACTGATCTATGCAAAAAAATAGGAGTAAAGAGTGAGGTTGAGAAATAGAAAAACCTGGGAAGATAACAAGGACAGAAGTTGTATGCTATCAGAAGAAGTTACCAGGGGGAAATGAACACCACTAAAGACATCTGGGTAATGAAAGAGAGCAGTTGATTAATAACTGCACTAGAAGATGGAAGGGATACAGTAAAGTGGGATGTAACCCAACAAGTCCCAACAGCAGGGATAGAGTAGAAGAGTAGGAAGAGGCCAAACAGAGAAGGGAACAAATATCTACAGAAGTCATCAAGAAGTGCTTCAGATAACAGGTAGAATTAGGAGAGAGAATACAGAAGGGTAGAGACGAAAAGACAAAAAAACACGCAAAAATGTGGAACTAGAAAGTGAATGTATGGTACAGGGCTTGTTCCCCAAGTTGGCTAGAAAGATAACAATGACAGGGAATTGTGATAAGGAAGGGAATAAAGTTTACAAACAAATCAGAACAAAAAGAGTCACAAATGTGAGGGGAACAAGGCATTTGGGTGTGAGAAGGAGCTATTAGATAAAGTAAACAGTATAAAACCTAATAACACACAAGAAGAAAAGACAAGGTAAACCCAAGAATTGAAGTTCTGAAAGTGAGAAAACAAAAAATAATAAAGAACACAAGCAATAGAGATGGAAAGAAACATACTATAGAAGGAAATCCAGAGAGAAATTGAAAGTTAAGGTCGTTTCACAAATGGTAATGTATTACTCAAAGTAAATTGGGTGAAGGTCCTAGTCTAATAGATCAATAACGACTGAGGAGAAAGAAATTCAGCAAATGAGACGGAAGTAGAAGACCCATTAAATATGTTATAATCCACAATACATTGAATAATTACTGCTATGATCCTGACAATTAACGAGCCTCCACAGCCACAGCAGAAATAAGGCCTAAGTGTGAAAAATGCCCCCCACCCACTCAAGACTAAGTACAAATTACCACCATTTGAGAATTCATAAAAAAATTAAAGCTTTTGAAACAAAAGCTAAAGAAAACTAAAACCAAAGTATCGTTAATGATTCAAAACTCAATAAATTTAACATGTCTGTGCTACATGGTGCCGAGGAAAAGAATGAAGAATCATAAGTGCAAATGCAGAGGGGGAGTTAGAGTGCTTGGAGGTGTCTTGCTTTTCTATTGGTGGATGGCTTTGTTGCATGGTGAGACCATCATGCAATAATGCAATTAACATAAAATCACATGAAATTAGGTTGAAGTTGCCTCAAGGCTAGTGGCATGCAAATCGCTGGCAAACACATGAAAAAATAACTAATCTATATGAGGAGATGTATTATTGTCTTCGAATTTCTCATTTCTTAGTTGTGTTTTTATTCTTTAATACCTTAATTAAAATCAAATTTAATTTAGAAGATAAATATTATATTAAAAATATGTATACACACCTAGCTGCAGAAAAAATCACTGACATAGCATCTTCCTCAAAGAGTACTAGAAGTGGTTTTCGTTCTTCAATTTTCCCCTATACAAAAACAAAGAAAAAGTTGTAAAACTAAAGATATCTCAGTAAAACTATATAACTCCAAGATTGCTAAAATACATCTTACTAGTGAATAACAGTTTTTTAAAATCTGAGAAAATACAAATTTTCTTTGACTACCATTTACATGAAATACAAAAACAGCAACTATTATTGTATCCACTCTTTTTCCAAAGTCATTAAACAGTTACAATTGTGATAATTAATGAGTTCTTTGTATGGAAACTTCTAAAACTTTAAATAGTGAGTTCATGGAAAAATATTACAAACTTATTCATATTAATCAAGTTCCAAAAAATACAATGAAAAAGGTAAGAAAAACTGCTCAATTCATAATTAGATTGATGGACTTGGAAAATGTTGATGAAAATGTTTAGAAAGGCTTTGTTGTTGTTGTTTGATGTCTTATGGTGCAAAGCAACGAGGCTATCTGCACCAAACAACCAGTAAA